AATAAGATCTCTGCTTAATGCCCGGGTCCTTTCTCCTCCTTATGACACAGTGTGTAAAAACCAGCCAATTGTGACGCTTCCTTCTGTGAAGGGTAAATAAATCCCAATGGATAACTAAGAGAGCGCCCAGCTTAAGGAGGGATTAAGTTGGCAAGCTACTGAGGCACTCAAATATAAACTATTCACTCCTCCAGGTGATGCATTTGAGGAGAGTCGTGCTTTCAGGCGCCTTTTCTGTAATTACTGGATTGCTCGTGTAGGATCTTGAAGGAAAATAAACAGGAGCTGGTAAAAGGTTACTCATTCGTCTGACTAACTAAGGACAGAGGAAGGTCTGAAGTAATGGCCACACCTTTGTAAAAACCATGATGTCATGATTTGAACAGTTCGGTGTATTTACTAACTCTGTTCCTGTGGGTTACTTCCTCGTTCTCCGGGGTACTATAACCACAAACCAGGAACACACAGTACTCTCTCAGCATTTATGGTACAGAGTTCTCCGGCTTATCAGCGTTTGCCGTTAGCACATTTGGAGAAAAGAGTTGCATTTTTGTATTGAAGCCCTAAAAAACGATTTCCAATGAATGTGTTTTACACCTAAACCATAAACATTCAAAACCAGACCAGTGGCAGTGACACCTCCAAGACAATGAAAACACTCGGACTGACGTAAACGTGACTTGGCTGAGGAGGCTCCGCCCGGCCGCCGTTAGACAAACAGGAAAGGAGAAACGGATGTCCTCTGACCTGCAGCAGGGTTTCCTTGGGAGTAGCCAGCAGATTGACAGCAGCTGAGAGTTTCTGGAAAAACTCGCTGGCCAGATCACTCAGACCAATGCTCTGGATCCAGTCCAAGAGCAGGTCCAGATTGGCCCGGATCTGGACCCCACGGGACCACTGGTAGAACCCAGCGTCAGACCCTAAGAGAGGACACGATTATTATTGTACTGGCACTGCAGAGGAGGCTCCTGGGAATGATAGTTTTACAGAAATATAAACAGCCGATTGTCCGATTTCAACCCCATTTAATGGCTGAGTGAGATTGTGTAAGAAGTAGGCTTGTCCCAATCCAATATTTGGATCAGATCGGCCGATGATATTAGCAAAATATATTCGGCCGGCAGGAGAAAATGCAGATCCAGACTCAAGATCCAGTTGTTTTTTTAAAGTCCGATCCCACGCGAGCATTAGCATTAGCATTAGCATCTCCTGACCCACAGGTCTGTGTCCTAACCATTAAGTTGTTTTAAGAGTAAATCCCTGTTCAACATGAGTCTGACAACTAAGTAAGTAGAATGAATAACTTGAACCTTTAACACATGCTCTGATAGGCCGGGATCAGATTGGAAGGGCAAAAAGCTGAATAGGAACATCCCTAGTAAGAAGTGCTCACATGTCTGCACGCTTTCATGGAGCTGAGCGTCCAAACTCTGAGGGCTCACCTCTCTCCATGAGGGCGTTGAACAGCGAGGCGTTGATGAAGAAGAACAGGTAAGAGCAGAGCTGTAGGGCGATGTCTGGGTGCACCTGGAAAGCCGTGAGCAGCTTCAGAGCCTCCTTCAGGACCTCCAGGATGCTAGAAAGCCCGTCGGGAACCCGCAGCTGCCCGCTCTCTGAGAAGGGGTTCCCGTCCAGGAGGCCGGACAGGGCCGGGTACATGCTCTGTGGAGGGGTCGGACACAGGGAGGCTCCATAAAAACATGTTGAATGTGGCTCAGACGGGCACAATGACACCAGCATGACATAATGATTACAGGGAAGGGTCCAGGGAGGGAAGGAAACCTTTGATTAATTTCATTTTCTAAAAAAATGGAGTCCGTAGTTGTAGTTATAGAAACTTAAATCTGTATACTGGGTTCTGTCACCAATGTGTTTGTCTTTGTATATTTCGATAGTTTGATCTGTTTTTATTCTGTAAAGCACTTTGGTCAGCTCCGGTTGTTGTAAAGTGTTAGATAAATAAACATTGATTGATTGATTGATTGATTGATTGATTAAATGAGTTCTGTACCAATTGGATTATCTGACATTTTACCAGGAAGAATTCCAGTCATGTCTACCGGCTGATAGGGGTTATGTCGTGTCGCCTTCCTGGCTTTAGTGGTTAACTTAATGACACGTTTCTCACCGGTAAACATCTCAGATATCTTGACTTTCAGGTTGTGTTGCCGGTGGTGGATTTTTCACACAGGTGACATGTCATTATGGGTGATGAAAGATTTGTTTAATGCGCGAGTGTGAACAAACAAGTAGCTTCTGCTCAGTTTACACAACACAGAGATGAAACAAAGTGCTGCGAACTGTGAAGAGTCACCTGGTGAGATGACATCTATGACATCAGCCACACACACCGACACACCACGTGTTCACACAAAGAGGTAAAAGGCCACAATAAGCCTGTCTCAAGCAGCCTTTCTTTGAAATCTACTTGGTACATATTCATGAACATGGCCCGGCTTCATGTCTGTTATCGTCATAAAAAAGTCTGAGCTGCAGAAAAAAAGTTCCTGAGTGATGTCTGTACACTGTGAACATTCAGGTCTCACAGGAAATGAACAAAAAGACATTTTCTCCTCCCTTGCTTTTCCTCTTTTGGGTGTTTCTGATGACAGTTCGTCCTCCGCAGGAAGCCGAGCTCACAGCTCCAAATCCTCCCTTTCTTTTGAATCACTAAGTTACCAACAGGCCCTTTTGCCTTATAAACAGACCATACAGGCTCAGTGAGAGGCTCTTAGCTTCTGAGATGAACTCCCTGATGAGACCACGTGATGCATAAAATGCAGTAAAGCTGTTATTTTGTGAGGGAAGGTAGGATTGGGTGGTAAATTATCAGAAACATCTGAGTATTCACAGCAGCAGAACAGACTGTTCCTGCTTCCTTCCTCGAACGGTCCACTGAACAGGGTGGGAGTGCTAATGCAGCACCAAACGCTGCTCCACATATGTTTAAGACTAATAAAAACACTCTGCTGTCTGCTTTGGATTAACTAAAAGAAAGACAACAATTTATGGTTTGAAAAGGTCCTTCTTCACAGACATCCCCTAGCTTAGTGTATTAGCTCAGATTCATGCTGAACAGCTTAATTCCGTCCTCATATTGTGCAACTAAATTAAAATTCAAAGCAAAGGTCAAACATTTAACGGTAAATCAGGCGCATTTTGGAGACTAACCGTCTGAGCTGGGATTTGGCACAAACCACATGGTCTAAATGAGCTTGCTCAGCACTGGAAATTCGCATAAATTCAGTCTGGGCGTGTCTGTCGCGGCTGTAAAAACAGCAGTGTTCCCTCAGCAAATTCAGACGCATCTTCAGACTTTTACAGCTTTAAATAAAAGCCAGCATTCAGCCCGAGCAGTGCCCACTTTTTTTTTAGGCTGTAGGGTAAAATTAGCCCCTCTAGCTTGATGTAGATGAATCTCCCGTAGCTCTTTATGCTCCTCATTTTAAACCCACTAAACCATGAACAAGATGCAAAAGACAACAGCTGGTTGGACATGAAACAGGACTCCTCAGTGGCACAGATAAAGAGCCCACTGGTCTGTTCATCATCACACCGACGGGTGTTTTTCTGTCATCGAGGCTGGCCTGACTAACACCACTGGGATGAGCAAAATATCAGGAATGTTATCCTGGAGCTTCACCACACAATCTTACCGTTCTATCAAGGATTCCCAGAGCCTGTTCCAACCAGAAACCACACACTAAAACACTCATTACTACAATCTTTTGTATGAAACTGCTTTAGCTCAGACTGTTTTTACCTAATAAAAAGAAACAAATACTCTTACTTCACTCTGTGTGTGAAAGTCTGAATTTAACCAGTTTACATTGAGCCGTCCACCTGCTGACATTTAAAGTACGTCAGTAAAATATTTTCAAACACGACTTTATGACTTTAAACTTTATGGTTCTGTTCAAATCCAACATTTTGTTATTCAACCTGCCCTAACCTCGAGATACAAGATTGCCAGTGTTTATATTCCGCTGAGTGGAAAAGACACCCTGCTCTCTATCTCGCAGGCCTTTCCTGACTCAGAGTTTGTGTTTCCATTCTGTTATTGTGTTTTCTGTCTGGAATAGGCTCAATGAAAACAGAATATTGTGTTTACACAGCGCGGTTTCCTGCTCCGTGTGTGAGAGACACTCAGGTTTCACGGGTCAGAGGGGATGGCGTTATTCTGTGAAGACTTTCTGCTAACCTTTGTTAGATAGTAGACAGACTGCTGGAAGGTAAACATGATGACTTCCTCCAGGACCGTCATGGCTTCCTCACAGGCTGCCCGAGTGGACGAGATCTCAGAGGCCGGCAGACCTGAGAAAACACACCATTAGGGCCTGTTGAGTCGCACACTCGGCGGGTCTGGGAGCTGCCGGCCGTACGGACCTTCGTCCTCCTGGTTCTGCTTCCAGGGCAGCAGGCGGGGCACTTCCTGCTGGATGAAGTGCAGCAGCTCGATGGCGTTGGCCATCCACAGGACCAGCGGCTGCAGGCCCGGGATCAGCTCCTCCATGCTGAGCAGCTGCAGACCGTCCGGCTGCCCCTCGCTCCTGAGGAGTCCACCAATCACAGATCAGATAGAGACTTTTTTAAATAAAACACACAATGCTTCCCAAATCTCCCAAACTGGACTCACATTAGCTGTCATTTCAACATTTCCTTTAAATTGTGGTCTCTGTTTGGAAAAATAACTAACTTAAATGTGAATGTTTGAATTCCTTATTTGCCCTTTTAACAAAATATGTAAAAAGAAAAAACAGAAATACATTTTTTATATTAATAATTTATTACTAAGCGATAAGTCAAGATTATTTTTTGTGTAGTCTTCTGCCCCCTGTTATCAGGTGTATCTGATTGTGTACAATACGATTTTGAGCAAAGTTTTTACCATTAAATCATGCAAAAGGTGTCAGACGCAAAACATTTAAGAAACCGTATCAAATATGATACATTTGGCATTATAGGGTTAAATGATATTTCCATGACTGGAGTGTTAAATTCACAGCTAATTTAACGTGACAGGAAATAATTATGTTACTATTGTAGCTTTACAGGAAAATAAAATGCACAAACAGGCCGTCTACAGAGTTTGATCTGAGTACTTATGCCATTTCTAGAAAATGTTTGTTTTCGTGTTTGGTGGATGATTCATTCAGTCTAGGAAAGGCCATTCTTCAGACACCCTGTTTCTAAAAAACACTTTTAAAGATGGTCAATTTGTCAAAAATAAACAACTCAAAGTAAGAAAGTAAACGCGACCTCTGTCAGAAGGTTTACTTCCTTAAAGGGAGAAAATAAATAATCTCTTTTGAGTCAACTTCCTTTCTAATTTCAGATAATAAGCCAAAATGGACACCTGTGTAAGCTAAAGAGTGGTTGTATTTTTTCCCTAAGCTACTATTTAGTGGAGGCTGTTACGTTTTCCTTTGGTTTGCCTCTGAAAACACGGCAGGATGTTGACACTGCTGTCAGTTTTCTGCAGCTCAGAGAAGTCTGCTAACCTTAAATGACTTCATGTGCCTTCAGTTGTATCCAGTTCACCAAAGAACAAAGACTGGAAAACTGTCCCATTTAAAAATCTGCATGTAAGGAAGCTTCTTGTTTTCTGAAGGACCGCATCTCCGTGGGTGGGGAGTTACATACAGTATTCTGGCTAGAAGCAGCTGATCATTATCAGAGTTTTTCTGGGACGTCGTAAAAAAAGACTCACGTTTCAGGTTGGATTGCCGCAAGTTCCTTTGTCTTCTCCTGAAAAGTTAAAAACATGTGAATAAGATATCCCTTTAGATTAGTGACCAATCTAACATGTTCAGTACAGATATGAGGACCCGTCTTATTTCAAATGTTTCCCAGCAAAAGCTCGGTTATCTGATTAAAGGTTAGAGTTTCGTCTTTACCCAGGCGATGAGCTGGACCTGATTGGCTATCTGCAGCAGGAGCTGCCGGAGGTGCGTCAGCTCGAATGTGCCGGCGGAGTGCTGGATGCAGAGGCTGAGCAGGAAGGCGGGGGTCAGCTTCGGGTCACTCCCACCGGGGTCCACCTTGTCCAGAATCTCCTGCAGGACTCTGTCCTCCTGCTCCAGCTCGTAGCTTATCGAGGCCTCTGTGCCCTCCAGGTCTCTCCAACGAGGAGCTGACGGCTTTCTCTGGACTTTTTTGGTGGCAACAGTGGAACCACACGACAAACAGGAGGAGGATGTCTTTGAATCGGAGTTTGGACAAAGTCTGGTCATCCAAGGAGGCGTGTGGGGGGATCCTGGAGCAGTGGTAGGATCCTTAAACATGAACAGGTAATGTTTCCCCAGGCCGACCAAATCTCCCGGATTCAGTTCCACCTCCTCTTTGAGGAGGAAACCGTTTCTGGTCACCGGAGCCCCGTGGAGGGGCTTCAGCCTGGTCAGCGTCTTTTTGAGCTCCCCCGTGGAGGTTTGGGTGGTAGAGTCCAGCCGCCTCACGCAGCAATGCTGGGGCAACACGTCTGGAGCAAAAAGGAGGATGTCCACCTTCAGCCTCTCCTCGTCCTCCCCGTTACAGTGCTCCCCACAGCAGCCGAACACCGTGCTGCTGCCACTCATCAGGTAGATCACAAAGTCCTGAAAAAGGTTTAAAAGAAAAAAAACTGAATTAAGGCTTCAGAATAGGGTTGTCAAAAGTATCGATTCTCAAAAAAGTATAGATACCAAAACGTTGTATCCGGATACGATACTCATTTTCAAAAGTATCGATACCCCCATTCTCTCTGATTTATTTATTTACGTTGTTTATGATCATTAACGTGACGTTAGCCTTGAATTGCTAGCTGCGGCTAATGGCTAATAATAACATGCTACCATTAATCAAGTCCGTCTGGCTGCAGACTGCAGGAAGCCAAGGATGGATATCCAACTCCACCCACATCCAGGTCGGCCATTTTGATTAAGTCACCAATAGGAAGATCCCAGGCAAGAAAATCCTAATCGAAATCCAATCCAAATCCTTAATTTCCATTAATTTAGAAATAGTGAAATTAATCTTGCAAACACTGAATTAAACTCTATACATAATATTATGTTAAAATAGTGGATGTTAAATAGGTTTGTACAATAAGTCCAAACAAGTTTAACCAAAATAATTATTTCACACAATAATGAAGGGTGGAAGGTTAGGGTCAGGGTTAGGGTCATTAATACAGGCCACCGGCCACCATAACATCAGTACCAGGTCAGTTTGAAACCAAAGACACTAACCTGTCAAAATTCAATTACATTTTGGGGTCTTTGTTTTTATCCTTGTGGTATCGAAAATGGTATTGAGTAGCGCATATTTTCCTGAGTATCGGTATGGAGTTGAAAATGTTAGTATCGTGACAACCCTACTACACATTTGCACGGTGGAAACAGGTGACAATAAAAGCCAAAACAAGAGCCACCGGAACAGCCGATCGTTCTGTAGATAAAGACATTCCTGAAGTGTTTGTTTTTGCTCCAACACGAGACAGGAAAAACAACTCATTTCGAGAGAAAATGGGAGACTTCCTTTCTAATCCCTCATCCATTAAAGACATACTACCCGTCCAAGTGTTGAACGCCTTGTGTAACACTGGAAGTGATTCGGGGGTGTGCATGTGAACAGAATCGGGATCAGCCGGTAAAAATACAGCCGCTACGAGACGAGAACAGAAGGGCTTACAGGTGAGGAGCTAGTAAAGGCCACGACCTGAGGATCACCACATTAAGACTATTAGTCGGGCCATGATAGGTATCATCTGTGAGGTAACATACAATACTATCCTTACCTGAGGAGCCCCAAAGCTCGTATTTTATCTTACACCTAATGGTATATGTGTAAAAGACACAGAACAGCCCCTGTTTTGCTGGATCAGACTTTCATTAATAAGCTCAAACATCAGCTTTCGTTTCCCCTTTTATGACCACCGAAACACCACAGAGCCGCCTTGTTTCTTTGCTTTGGCTCTGGGCTGACCCATTGTTAGGAGCGAGATTAGGCCTTCTGCAGCAGAGCTACTGGTCTCATGCAAAGTCAGCAATCTGCCCCAGCTGGGACGAAAACACAGAGAAAAAGAGCTTCCTGTTCCCAAGAACGAGCTGAGTAAAAGTCACACCCTGCCCATCTGACTTTTTATGAAATACGAGCTGTGGAAAGAACCGATTCGACAACACCTAGAAAACAAGACGTAAATATACTGACATGTTGAGCACCAGCTCCCCTCTCTAGAGCTCATTCTCAGGAATTCCTCTCAACAAGTCCTCTTCTAAGATTCCAAGAAGCCACTCTGGGATTTTCTGCTTCGAGTTCTTAACATAATACGATCAATCGGATGCCCTCAGACCCTTGTTTTCCATTTTGTTGTCTCTGATAAGCCTGTAGGTCCTCTGTCTGATAGCACACCTGTAGGTGATCCGATGAGGCCTCCCTTATTCCTAACTTGCCCATACTGATTGTAATACAGCATTTTGAGAAAACACTCACTTAAATATTCCAAAAATGTAATTCCATTTAGACAGAATTTCTAATGCAATATTTGCTCATTAGTCCAATAATGAGTCAAAGGAAGCCTCAAAACACAAAACCAGTGCAATAAGCACACATTAATAGGTATGTTTCATGCCGTTGTTGTATGTTTATGTAGATCTATGCCTTAGGATACATGAGGTCTGTCTACAGGGCTGAGAGGTGAGCTCTGGTACCTGTCTGTGGCTGTAGCCCTGCAGCAGGAGGAAGTAGGGGAAGTCGAAGGGCGGGTGGATGGAGTACTGGGTGGTGTTATCGTCGCTGCTCTCCGTCTCCTCCTTCTCCATGCCGAGCCGCAGCACCTCCTTATCGGCCTCGGCCTCCGGGTCCTCTCTCAGCGCGCCCGGCTGCGCCCGGCCGGCCGCCTTCCCCATGGCGGACAGGTCCATCTCGCTGAGGCTCCTCCAGAAGCCGAGGCCGTCCACGTCCTCGCCGCTGCTGTCCACGAACAGGGAGGTGACCCGGGATCGGCCCCGCTGCAGCTTACGGGCCTGCGCGTTGATGCCTGCGTTTAAAGGAGACATATTACACCCTATTTCAACAAGTTAACCTAGTTCCCTGGTGTCCTGATGTAATGTCTGTGACAAGCTTTGGTCAAAACCCCATAAGGATGAACCCCAATAGCAGTTCAGTCCCCCTGCCAAAACAGCCCCGTTCAGAGCGCTCGCTTTGGAGTGCCTGTCTCTTTAAATGCAAATGAGACACAGGCAATCCACCCACTTCTTCCTGGAGGTGTGCCCACGTCGGCACGCTAACGCTACCGTGCTAACGCTAGCACGCTAACACTACCATGCTAACGCTACCATGCTAACGCTACCATGCTAACGCTCACGCTACCACCTCGTCTCCACAGATAGGGGAGTAAGCTGAGGGGGGGGGCAACATGCAGGTGAAAGGCTGGAATATTATAATGAGCTAGAGCTAATGACGTCAGAAACTACCCACTCCTGAAACCTCCTGATTTATCTCCTGGATTCAGACTGAGGCAGCCCACAAAAATATGACAGCCACTTTGCCTGCTGATAGGCCCTCCACAGTCCCAAATGTACATAATCAAATGATTAAAAACTTGGTTTTGCATAATATGTCCCCTTTCAAAAGAACCCGTTTCTGTCTGAGGCCATCTGAAGCCAGCTTTTAAAACCAAGTCAGCTGTGGCTGGGCTCTTTATGCAAGGAAATGGTAACCAGAAAAAATCCTCTTAGGGTCTCAGAAACAGTTCTTTTTTATCATCAGATGTTTATACCGTCGAGCCAATCTGTAAAAGCACAATAAACATGTGAAAATGATGTGTGGGATAGATATCTGGATCGGATCGGCCGCCGATATTCTCAAAAAAGCAAAAAACTGGATCGGGACATCCCTAGTGTGGAAGCCGTTCTGTTTCTCTGCTGGTGGGTTAATCATTTTAGCTCTGGATCAGCTGCAGTCATCCACCTCGACTCCAGCTAAAAATATGAACAAACCAGGGAAATTTTGTTAATAAACTTGTGTTTCCAGCGACCAGAATTCCCCTGGATTCGCTCTAATAATGCTTCGCTGTGTTGGCGCCAACTGCAGCGCAACATAACCGGGGGAAACGTAAATGTGAGGGAAAGCTGCGGCCTCCATCAGATAGCAGCAGCCGCTCCATGGGCCTGACGCAACACAAACACTATTCAGCTCGTTTGGAGCCATTAAGCACAGAGGAATGTCCAGAGCGCCGGGCTTCACGCCGCCGCTCCGCTGCTCTTATCAGCTGTGGAAATGGGTGTTTTCTACATTGTTCAGCACCGCTCTGACAGACTGGGCCCTGGGCCTAAAAACCCACGGAGGCAAAAGGGCAGTTTCCCCCGGTCAGTGGCCAAAGAGCGGAGGCTGAGGAGGGAGGATGGAGCACCGAAGAAAAACTTTGAGTCTGCTTGATAGTAGCCTGTGAATAGAGACATGTCCTGATTTCTAAATGAGAAAAGCATTATTGACCCATTAGATGTGAAGGAGATTATTCCTGTGAACTTCATGAGTGAGAATGTGAGAAAAAGCAACGAGAGAATTGTTGAAAAGTACGAGCCACTGCTTGGTTTTAACTTCAAGTTTAGTGGAGATGAAGGTTAAGACGCAAGTCTTATTGAAACTGTCAAACTTCTAAAGTGCCCAGAATTACCCAGGCTGTTTATTTTGTAGCTTCAGACACCTTTTCACAAGATAATCCTTCAAAAACTAAAGATAATGATGAATCCATCAGAATTAACTTAATTGAGAGTTATCACTTTTGAGAGCTGCCAGCAGGTCAGGGACCCCAATTTAAAGATACTTTGCTTTTTTTTTAATTAAATGATAATTACCAATGATCACAAGACAGGGGGGAGAGGGAAGGAGTAGCAACACTTGTATTTTTTCTGTAAAATGTGAACTCCATATTTATCAGGACAAACCACATAGTGCAAACCATTTCACATGTCACTTAATCTGTATTTTTTGTTGTTTTTTTGCTTAATTTAATTTGATTTAACTTAATACTTTTTTGCCCTGTAAGCTGCTGGTAACCTTAATTTCCTGCGGGAGTCTTCCCAAGGGATCAATAAAGTACTGTCTAAGTCTGAGTCTAACATTATTTAAGACTGTTGATGGGGACAACGACAAACATTGGCCAAAGTTAACCAGCCTGAACAGTCCCAGTGTGAGCGGCTCCCACTGGCCGGGTGGGCAGAGCTGCCCCGTGCCTTAAAGCTTCACAGGGACCTGACGGGCCCTGGAAATAAAACAAAGATAAGAGCAGGGCCGTCCAGACCCCCTCCATCCCTCAGCGCAGCTTTTGTTTCCTCCTGCCCTCCCTCACATACTTGTTCTGGCTGGTGATAAGCGGGACAATGACAGCAGTAAGAGAGCAGGATAAAGGCTCTCCATGCAGACACTGAGTGATTGATTAGCCGGGCGGAAGGATGGTAGTTTTCCCCATTTGCATCCCTGGAAAAGGACCCAAATCCTGGATTTCTGGAGGAGACGGGTGGTACAGGTGTGAGGAGGGAGGCGTGTACCTGCGGTGACCGTGTCTCTGTCCTTCTGACTCTGCTCTTCCACGCTGGCTCGCAGCTGGATTTCGAACCGTCTGGAGAAGCCCTCCTTGGGCTTCCACAGCGACTGCAGCATGAGAGGCCTCTCGTTGTCACCCACAACTCTGAAGCACTCCCTCTTCCACTGGCTATCGGCCCCCGTCTGACCAATCACATCGCACAGCACGTAGTCGTTGGCGTCTTCTTTTTCCAGACAGTACCTGCACGACAAAAGGCAGAACTTGAGGAAGGAGGATTAGGGAGGTGGGGGATGGAAGGGAAGGGCTCCGTGATAGAGTTAACTCATGGTTTTGGGCCTGAAAGTTATGCTTTCCATTAGAGAAAGTCCAATGTAGTCTCTTTCATTAGTTTTTCTTAAATTCTTACAAATTTATTGGCATTTATTTATTCTTCTCACACTGTCATTAACACTTAATTTGGATCTGTATATGTACATATTGTTACATATGTATATATTTATTTATATTTTGTGTGAAATGTTGTATATATATATATATCTATATTGACATGCATATATGTATATGATGTCTGGAGTTGGTAAAAAAAAGAAAAATTCCCTCTAGGATTATTAAAGTATTTCTGATTCTGATTCTTGATGTTACTTATTATTTAATTAATCGTATTGACAAACCTCTGAGCTACTGTTTGAGTGTCTTGATGCAATGAACAAATGTTTGAATTACACTCCTTTCTCCATTTGGATAAATGTTAGCTTGTAAATGTGCCATGCATCTGCAGAGACTTTGATTTGAGAGGTGGTATTGTTCGGTCCGGATCTAAACCCTGTTTTCAGCTCCATTTGCCGGCTCTCACCTCTCCAGAGCCTCCCTCACCAGCTCCTTTGCGCTGGACTGAGTGGTGGCCAGCACGCTCTTGTAGTGGGTCCCGTGGCAGATGTCGCTGCCAAAGATCTTAAGGATCCCGGGGACAGACATTTGGCTGGACAGCTCGGCCGGGTCGTCTGAGGCCTGGAGGTCTCCGGCCAGGCTCCCGCCGCCTCTCGTCTGGCCCCGGTGTCCGCCGTCCCGCAGGTTGGGGCTGTGGTTGAACACGGTGGACAGCCTGTTGTTGTGGCGGCGGATTTTGCTCTTGGCTGGCTGGCGGACGCCCGCGCTTTCATTGGAGCGGACGGTGTTGTCTGATTTGTTGGACCTGGGTCAAGAGAGAAGTGAGAGTAATTACACACGCACATGCAGCTCACAGAAGGCTCCTGCTGACAGCCATTTAACCCTAAAACCCGCAGAAAAAAAATGGAAAAACACACATAAAACAACAGCCAAAGAAAAGCAGGTAGTTTTCCTATTTGTAGAACTCAAAATGCAGAAAAATATCCCTAATCAAACGACAAATTAAATAGCCTAAAAACACAGCTATGACCTCTCATCATCTCACACAAATACAACTTTTAGTTCAAATTGTTTTCCTTTTTGCCCTGCAATTTACAACCCAAAGCATGTAATTTAGAGGAAAATAGCATGTGAGGGAGAACTGTTTGATCTGCTGCTTAGCTGTGTTTCCTCCCCACTACTTACACAAAAAGAAAGCCTAACAAAGATTTATTTGCTGAAACAGACGACAAACGATGAACTTAAACACAGCTGAAATAGTAAGAATAACTTCCTAACTGTGCAGAGCTTTTTAGCAAACAATAACATTTCTATTTGATTTTCTTTCTTTTAGATAATTCTGTTTTAAACTGACAAGATAATAATGATTAAAAAAGATAAACACTAAGACTATTGATGTTTTCTTTTTTTCCGAATCATAAGTGGATGCAGGGATTTACGTGCCGAGAGAAAATTTGTGGTTTCTTTACCAGAAGTTCACGTTCCAGTTTTGTCCCCGGCATTCAAGTTTTTGGTTCATCTCAGGTTTTGTGTTTTTGTTATTTTATTAAACCAATAACCTCCAGTCTCCTGCCTGCACTTGCATCTGAAACGCCTCTAATTGCATCCTGGACACAAACTCTCCTCAAAAATAACATTCTCCACAAAAAAGTCAAAGCATTCTTAATGAAAAGAGGAAACTGGAGCCAGCTGTTTAGGTTTTAATCCTAAACTTAACTTGACTACTCCTGTTTTTAACCACACCTGAAGTGAAACTCGAGTTAGAAAACGTGTTTTTAATCGTAATTCCTTCAAACTTGGGGTAAACTGGTGTAACACATGGACACAAATATGCTGAACTGGTCTTTATGTTTTCTATTTGTTTAAATTACACCACCAAGCAACTGTATTACTTGAATGTATATCACTGCCTGTAACTATATTGAGTGCTTTACACTTTAAGTTTGGTGTTCATGTTTTAGAAACAGGTCTAATCCGATAGTAACCATCCCCTAAATCACAGGCAAACTTACTGTAGAGATCCATTGCTGGGTTTCCTTCCTAGCTTGGCCAGGCGCCTCTTCGGGGAGCGGATGAGTAAACCCACGGGGAAGTTTAGGGTTTGTTTATTTGCGTGGCTGCTTTTCTCCTCCGAAATCATTTTCTCTTTTCAGCCTTTACACAAACACGACGGGACTTCGCAGAGGGCAGAGGTGACCACGACACGGCATCGTCCACTTCGCTTGCTAGCTAACCCAAAGGGTGAGAAATGTCCGAGTTCTCCACGAGGAAAGTTCACCTTTAAACCGCTCCTAAACGCATCCCAGCGAGCAGAAGAAAGCCTTCCGGACGTAAACCATCCGTTAAACACAATTAGCTACCTTTCTACCAACTGTTAGCTCGGTGGGAAAAGTTCAAATCCCCCCTCAAAAGTTAAATGAAAAGCAACGGACTCCAACGTCTAAATCAGATGCCTTGAGGATAAAATCCCCCCAAAATCCAAACTTAATAGAAAGGCCGTGTGGCAAAACGATGAGGAAGAGACACTCTCGGACGCAGACTGTCCATTTCTGACAGGACGCAGGTGAAAATCCAGTGGAGCTCCTGCCTGGTCCATTCCGTGACCCGTTACCTCCGTTAAGGAGCGCGGAGCGGACTAAATGAATCAACCTGTTGCTGAGCAGAGCGCGAGCCACAGCTCGAGCCACTGCGGAGCGACGTCACGCGCACGGCCGTTGAGTGGGCGGGGCTTAGCAAACACAGTTGCCATGGCGCTGCTATACTTACGAGGACCTTCGTTGACATAATACAGTTATATCTTCTTATCTTTTTGTTCCATCAAAGCAAAATAGTGTTCAACTGCAAACCAATCTTTAACTCTATCTTAAACTGTCACACAAAGAAAATGTGAACTTCTGAAACAGTGGGTTTCCGTAACAAAGCCGCGAAACATTTGTGTTTATATCCATATGAGGACATTTCGAAGTTTTGTGGATCAGCTTGGAACTGTTGGTTAGTAACCGGTCGAAAACGTTAACGTAAGACCCACAACCAGAAAATGTACTCGCTAAGCTACACTTTTGCTAAAAAATTTTGATTCAATTGGCTGAGGAACACAGTTTGAGCTTTAAAGATCAATGTTCAAGGTTTTACCAATCTTTTAGAAGTCCTGCTGCACATAAATCTCTAAAATTCAAATTGATCCAATTAAAAATGGCAAAACAAGTGCAGCAATATGTTTGGTATTCCTGCCATATCCAGGAGTCCCATGTTAAATACTTTACAGTATTTGTGTTTTAAACTACGTAGAACCAGCAAAAAACAGTCTGCAAACTTCCCTACAACATGAAAATACACTATGCAATCGTCTGTTTAAAAAAATCTGATAGATTCACAGAAAAGCAAAATAAAAGCCAAAAACAGGAATAATAAACCAATTCAATGCAATGTGGTGAAACCAAAACAAGAGTGAAGAGTGAAAAATTATTTTCAGACACATTCTTAATGATATCAAGAAAAAACACAAACCTTGCCTTTTAAAATCAGCTAAATTGACCTAAAACCTTTCTTAGAGGTTTGAATAGATATGGTCTTTTTGGATGTGTTGGGATGAATCTAATCCCAACAGAATCTGTACAATTTCGTTTTGGAAAAGACAATACAGCCCCTAGTTATTAAGAAGTTCCTCTTTTATCACAAAATCCCATCTCAACTCATACTTGAGTCCCCCAGATGTGCAAGAATTAAGCTTCAGAATCACCATCTAGTGGCAGAAAAGTCACTTTGCAAATAAAGACTTCACAAGAAAAACATGGTGTAATGTATTTGGAAAATATATATGAAGTTCATAGATTATCAGTTAAGACTATGTTAAGTACATTTTCCTGATTATTTAGCATTACCCTCCACAAGCATTTCAGTCTGGATTAATAATAAATGCAAATTTAACTGGAGTCTTAACATGTTGAAACATGTTTGAAGAACTGCTGAGTAATCAAACGCAGCGATTCCTGTGAATCTGGAGGCATTTCCTCTTTCTTTTCCTAAATTTGGAGAACAGCTCATTGCAGCCTGACAAACCCTTCTGAACTATTCTTTTCTGCGTTCTGTATTTGATTCTTTTTTAAGGACTGTTTTCATGTTTTGTGCTTTTTCCAGCTCTGACCTTTCTTGTGGTTTTGGTACCTTTG